ATGCAGAAGGCAGCATCACTTGTCCCTCCCATGCCATAGGCCCATAAATAGACTTTTCGTAATGATTCGATGGGCCATTAATTAGCAACTCAAGTATCACAAACCCGTAAAAAGGCATTGGACGTTTTCATACACAAGGTTTACATCAGCTTTTGCTGTAATCAGTCTATAATGTGATTGCCAAATCTACCATGACTACAACATATGCTGAATCTTTCTGCTGTTTTCTAGTCCCTATGAATAACGTATGTACCAACCAATGTAAGCCACCCTGAGCCTGCTCGCAGGGAGGGCAGGGTACAGATTAAATAAATAATAAAACATATACGAAGGAATGACAATGCTCTCAGGCTGGCCTTACTGGAAGTGAATGCAGACCTCAGGATTATGCTGTAGTCCAAATGGAGCCATGCCATCACTGCACAAAAAGCATGCCATATAAACCTCAACCCATTTGGGACTAACAGTCACTAGTGTATATAAGAATCACCACCAGTCACTCTCTCTAGGTTGCTTGGATAAGCAAGACTGTATTCATAGAAATAGTGGATTGTCAAGGAGACGACTGACACTGCAATCCTATGCAGAGTTACTCCCGTCTGAACACATTGATTTCAATGGGCTTAGACTGGAGAAATTTTGCACAGATTGCACCCTTTCAAAGCTGCAGGAGACGTTCTCACTCCTTTCCCCCTTCTCATCTCCTTTCCTGCATTGCTGCTTAAAATTGAAGCTTTTATACAGGTAGCTGTTAAAAAAGAAAACACCAACCACAAAATCAAGGGGAATGGGGAAAAGGTGCCCCCCTCGGACCCTGGCATGTTCATATCTCAAGTATTTGGGAGGTTCTTACTGAAAGATCCAAAGTGGTCTTTTCCTGACCCCTCTCCATTACCCTAGGCAGCAGCGGGGTGCCGTGCAGCCACTGTTTTCATGCAATATGGAATTGTGGCCAACTACTGCTGGCTGCTGGTGGAGGGGATCTACCTACATAACTTGCTGGTGCTGGCTGTCTTCTCTGAACGGAGCTACTTTACTCTCTACCTCTGCATTGGCTGGGGTGAGTATATGAATGTCCAGGCACTTAACAGAACATGGGGTGAATGGTGCAACCCTTTCACCAGAGCAAAAGCTGGGAGAGGGCTCATCCAGAATGGCACAAACTGCATTACATACTGAAGCACAGGGAGCAACAAAAGACTGGGCACTGGGGTGCCAGAGGACAGGGTTCACCGTCCATTGTGGGGACAGAGCCTGTGAATCCAACACTGAACTTTGACAGTATGCACTGATGGAGAGGGTGTGACATATAGGGGGATAAGAATGAAACCTTCATTATCTGGTACCTTCCTGAGTTAGTTTGGTCTGTGGTTTATTCCTTTCCTATCAAATTAAACCTCTGCAGGAAACAGCTTGGATTGCCGGGAATTCCCTGCTTTTTATGAGGTCACAGCCCATGACTGTCCCCACCCCCCGCCAGCCCGTGCATTTATTTTCTCTAGAAAGAGAGATCCCAGAAATGCTCTTTGCTTGAATATCAAATTTGATCCCATATTTGTGAATACCAACCACCTGCTAGAGAGGCAAGGGCCTAGCCGTACATTATGAAGGGCACATGGCTGCTGCAAAGAACAGCGAACCCAAATCTCTGTCTCTCTCCAGTACCATTTAGTAAAAGAAATCACATGCCATGCCATGATGCCAGTTGAAACGCAATCCAACGAAGATGGAGGTCCTGTACCTGAGTCGGGGGGGGGGGAGTTGGGATGGGGATCAGGCTGCCCAACCTGGATGGTGTGCCACTTGCGCCAGCCCAGGAGGTGAGGAACCTGGGGGTGATCCTGGACGTCTCACTTTCTAGGGAGGCCCAGGTCACCACAATTGCCAGGTCTGCCTTTTTCTGTCTCCGGCAGATCAGGCAATTGACCCCCTACCTCTCCCCCCAGGACTTGGCTACAGTGACCTGTGCAATGGTCACTTCCAGGCTTGATTACTGTAACTTGCTTTATGCGGGCTTGCCCCTGTGACTGATCCGGAAACTCCAAGTAGCCCAAAATGTAGCCTCATGCCTGCTGACAGCATCGCCTGTGCGGGCATGCATTCAGCCGGTACTGTGCTGCTTGTACTAGCTACCAACTGAGTACCGTATCTGTTTCAAGGTGTTGGTACTAACCTTCAAAGCCTTACGCAGCCTGGAACTGATGTATCTGAAGGACTGCCTCTTCCCATATGTGCCCCAAGGAGCCTTGTGCCCAAAGGACATCCACAGCCTCGGCCAGGGCCAGGGCCAGGGCTTTTTCTGCCCTGGCTCTGGCCTGGTGGAATCAGCTCCCACTGGAGATCAGGGCCCTGCAGGACCTTCTACCGTTCCACAGGGCCTGCAAAACGGAGCTCTTTCACCAGGCCTTTGGGTAAGGCAGCAGGCATCCACTTTAGTTGGCCTCCCTGCTCTAGTTCCCAAACCACTGGAAGGGCCCATTGATTCCATCTTGTAGCCCCAACAGATTTATATTGTTGCTACCAATTTTATTATTTATTGTTTTAATGATTTTAACGTGATTATTGTAATGAGTCTTTGACACAATTTGTTGTGATCCGCCCTGACCCCCCTTTGGGGAGGACGGAATAAAAATCCCTAAATAAATACATAAATCATTATCCTCAGAGTTTGCAACCCCCTCTCTACTTAATTGCCCACTAATTTGGGGGGGGGGGGTTGAGGTGGAAGAGTCCAGGTGCAGTGACATCCTGGCTTGCATCTTCTGTTACTAGATGTTACTAGGAAGTACTGAGGAAACACAAGAAAGAGACCCACATCCCTTGTAATGTCTACTTTGACCCTAAGGACTAGGATCTCCACAAGGACCTGTGCATTGCATCGCAATTAAAGCTGTGTACAGAACATAGTTTTTCAAGGAGTCAGTAGTGGTTTGACAGAACTGTCTTCACCTGCTGTACAGATACTGACTTCTTTTGAGCTCTCGAGTCATACAGGTTTTTGAAGTGCTATAAACATTTGTTTGTTCAAAGGCAACAGTGGGACAGAGAAAATTTATGTCCAGACTGTGTGTGGCCTATGGAGGTTCTGTCAAAGTGCCTTCTTGTCTCTGGAAACCTCCTGTCTGCACCCAGAATTATGATGCCTTCTTCACACAGAATATCCCAGAGACCCCCAACTTTTAAAAAATAATATATTTATTGATTTTCAAGTAAACAGACAGACAAACAAACATAACCATAAATAAATAAATCATACACAACATTCACGTTCACTATGTAGCAACACAACCTAGTTCTGTGTGATAAAGATAGAACAATTTACAATTTATATATTAATCTGTGTTGTATAGAAAATAAGCGTGGTATAAGATATGGACATGTGGGAAAATGTGCTGTGGATCTTGTCTAAGTGTACAATAAGGGCCTAATAGGTGCAGGGATGTATGTTGGTTGTTGTTCTATGTGTGTGTTGCTTAATGTATAAAAACCTAATAAAAATATTTTTTTAAAAAGAACAATTTACAACTAAACACACACTCCCACAATAAGCTATCCTCCAAGAATTAATTACGCACTTTGTTCACGCTAATTCTTAACAATATAATTGAAACTGTTCTTATTTATGCATGTATTTCTATATCAGCCATCTATTAGTATTTAACTGCATAATATATTCAAATTTATTTTAAATAATTTTTAACATTTCATGATGGACATTAATCTCTCTAGGAAAGGTTTTCTCACACAACTATACAACTTCACAAGCATTGACTAACCAGATTTCATCATCTTTTCGCTTTTTCCATTATAATCAAAATTCTCTCAGCCTTCAAAACCGTAATACTCTTAAAAAAAATTCTTTGCTTCTACTCTACTTTGAGCAGTACTTAACCCTAGTTACCCTTATTTCCTTACTATATATTTAAGCTATTTATCTCTATATTTTCTATTTAAATCCAAATGTTGCTTTTTAATTATTTATACATCTAGGAGGTTTCCTTTTCCTATCTGATTTACCTCATGCAATATTTAACCCCACTTATTCCTTTTCCATTACTATTTATTTAAACTACGTATCTCTCTATTATCCACTTTTACTGCATCTAAGTAGTAACTTATAACCCCATAGTGATTAATTAATCAATTAAGCTCAACATAAATAATAAAAAATAAATAAATAAGAAAAATTACATCCAACCATATCACATTATAACAAGAGCCATAAATCCATTTTTCTAGTAAACAATTTTTTTATAGTAAGCAATCACCAGTGTCACATTAACACTCAAATCATGAAGTCATTTTTCCAGTTAAACAACAATCAGCAAATGAACCGTCTCATCCTTTATATAACTTAATTTTCTTCCTATGAATCTGTAACTTGTCTCTTTGTATCAGTGTGTCCACATGCTTTTTCTCCTTGTATGTGCAGAGATTTCCTTCTACACTCTCCATTTTATGTTTCAATCTCTCTGTATTCCCTAGCATATTTTCAGTCTTAAACTTCCACGCACGTCGTTTGGGTCTCTTCCCCCCCCCCCCGTTTTATTCCATCTCCAGTAGAAATTCTTTGCACTATCTTATTTTTTTGGTCCTGTCTCTACGCAAATTGCTTTTATTGTTTCCTTTTCCACTTCTATAATTGGTGCTGGTTGGATATCAGATCTCCAGAGACCCCCAACTTTTTGAGCTTGTGGGCACCTTTGGGATTCTGAGAGGGGATGGTTAGTGCCACCCAAAATGGCTGCCACAGGAAGTGGGGTCAGAGCCCAACTGGCTGATGCAGGAGACAGAGCCAAACATGACACTTCCCTCCTCCTCACTTTGCAAATGAATTAAAGAGAATAAAATGAAAGGAAAATCCAGGCGATAAGGGAGAAAAAGAATAAAAAGAACTAAAGCTTGAAGGAAGAATGACTAAGGAAAATCCAGATGCTTACCCATCCTCCTGATCCTCCAGTGGCTGTGAGAAACCCTGTCCATTGAGGGAGGACAGCCAGTAACAAGCCCTGTCTTACAATGGCCCCAACCACTTTTTGAAAGGCTTGGCAGGTACCAGGTGAAGTGCTGCTGGGCATCATGGGACCTGTGGGCCATGGGGAACCCTAGCATATCCAATCTAGTTTAGAATAGTCAGTCGGCCCCTGCCACACGGCAGGGGGAAAAGCGGCAAAAAGCGTGGCTTTTAAAAGCCGCGCCAAAGTTGAAATGGCGCGGCGGGATCCCACGGATCCCCTGGCCGCGCCGCCTTTTCTCCCGGCACGATCAGACGCCGGGGAGAAAACACAGATCGGACACCGAGCCAGCCGAACTGCGCATGTCCGATCAGACTCCCGGTTTGCGGCGCAGCAGGGAGATGAACCACCTCCGTAGGTGGTTCCTACTTGCTCCGGATCATCGAGTGGATGGGCCAGTTCGGGGACGGAAGCACCACGCTTCCCAGATGTTGTGGTGTGATCGCGGCCATTTGCTCCGCCCCCGAACCGCCCCGCTACTGGCCCAAATCCCCTCGTGTGAACGAGACCGTAGATATGCTTTCCAGTTTTATTTTCAGTATGTGTGTATATGACTCCACCTCACTGTTTCCTAAAAAATACTTATGCACCCAGTCACCCAGGTCTTGCCTGAAAATTCACAGCTTTGGATGTGCCCTAGACTGCTTTTGCTGTTTGGCCACACCAATTGTGAGGAGCAGAGCAGAGGAAGGTAAAAGATCTTATTAGTGATGGAGTTAGTGAGACATGCTTGGCAGTTTGGAGTTTAGGCTAGCCTTTGTACCTAGAGGTCGTGTAGCCCAAAGCAAGCCGGTTACAAAGATACCTCAGGGGCTGAGGACATTGCAACTGCATCTCCCTGTTGCATGTTGTGAGTTGCAGGCAGATCTATCTTGAACAGAAATACCTCCCCTCTGTTCTTATGTCCTCCTGTCTCCTCTCTTCCTAGGCGCCCCAATTCTCTTCATTGTGCCATGGATGGTGGTGAAATTTCTTTATGAAAATATTCAGTAAGTTCTTACAAGCAGCATTCCAGGTCAATGTATGTGACCACTATACAAATTGATGGTAAACCTATCTGGAATCCTTTGTTAATATGAGTGGTCTGAAGGGGACACTGTTGTACACACAAGGGTAAGGGAGGGCTTGGCGAGACTGATCTTACACACTCCTTTGTTTCTTCCTTCCTTTAACTTAGGTGCTGGAGCACCAACTACAATATGGGTTTCTGGTGGATCTTGCGTTTCCCTGTGTTCCTTGCCATCCTGGTGAGTCCTTTCTAGTCCTTGTTTTGCCTCTACCCTGGCTCCCACACATGTCTGTTGCAATGCTGAAAATTGCTGCTGTGTTTGGAACTCCCCCATCTCCAGAGCCAACCTTTACCCCAAAGGTCATGACTGCAGTGTCTTCAGCCAACAGATTCCAGAGGAGGCACCTTTTTCTTGCTTCCAGTCTCCCTTGCTGTTGCTCATTAAAAATAAATAACACAAGAAAGAATTACTGTACAAGTTCATACTATTAAAGGCACATTAATGAGTCATGCTGATTTCTACTTGATTTTAATAGGTGAACTTCATCCGAAGACAGAAGCCCAATCACGATGCCAAGGATGTTAAAGATAGAACGTTTCGACTGAACAATACAACATTGTATTCGGATAGCAAATCTTCAATGTTGTAAATTTGTGAGAGCTGCTCTCAGCCAGTATAGAAAACTTGTACCTCTCATGGAAACATGAAGTAAAGAATAGTACTACAAACTGATGGTTGAAAAAGACGTTCAGTCGAAACGTTCTATCTTTAACATCCTTGGCATCGTGATTGGGCTTCTGTCTTCGGATGAAGTTCACCTATTAAAATCAAGTAGAAATCAGCATGACTCATTAATGTGCCTTTAATAGTATGAACTTGTACAGTAATTCTTTCTTGTGTTATTGACTTTACAATTACTGGGTCCATTTGTGTTATTTTGTTAGCTCATTAAAAATAACCATGAGAATGTCTAAGTCTATTGCTATCCACTCACCTTATCTCTCAGGTAGTACTAAGAACAATGACATAGGGTTGGGTTTGGTGAAATTTTCCACTGATGGAAGAGATTTCAGTCAGCAGAGTATGATTTCTGCATCTCCATCCTTCCACTGCAACCCAAAGTACCCCCCCCCCCCAATAGTGTTCCTGGAATATCACGAGAGGGGTGTCAGAGGTCTGCAGTGGGGGGGGGGGTGAAAATCACCCCTCCTTCTGTCAGCTGAAATTTTCCTCTGTATCCAACCCCATAGTATATAGATTACATTTTTCAAATGTCTTTACATACATTATTTACGTGCATACATGCCAGTGGTGCAATAAATGCTCTGAGAGTACCTAATCCTATAACACAGGTAAAGCTAAGCGCATGTGGGTGTGATCAGTGCTCTGATGAGAGATTAAGCAGAGCCCCCAGTTAACCACTGTGAGTTTAAGAAGAGTGGATAATAATAATGTTGAGAAGAATGATAAATACAGGCTAGCTAGACCTTAACATGCACAATGCTCTGCTCGCCTCCTGCACTGCTGCCTTTTCTAGTACTCATCTGCAATGTTTACCTTTCAGATCAATTTCTTCATTTTCATCCGAATCATTCAGATCTTGGTCTCAAAGCTCCGTGCTCACCAGATGCGCTACACAGACTACAAATTCCGGTACTGAGCATGTGACACTACCAGTGATGGCTCCAGGTTTTTTCGCCCACTAGGCGAGGATACATTCTGCCCCTCCCCACCGTGTGAGGCGGGGCAGGCGCTGGAGCCACAATGGGCAGGCCGAGGGGGCAAGCTGCAAATGCATGTGGGGGGGTGGGATCGCTCAAGGGGGAGGCTGTGCCAGGCTGCAAAAGGCGCTCCAAAAAGACTGCGGGGGTGGCAGAGGGCGAGCGGCACTTTCCCGTCATCCCGGGCTATTCCCCCGTGCCTGTCCCCCCCCCCCCCCCCCCCCTCACTCTCTCAAGAGGGTCCCGTCTCTTGCCGGGGACAGAGCAAGAAGCTGGCAAGGGAGGCTTCCTGTGCGGGGCGAGGAGGGGACAAAGCCAGCCAGAATGGTGCCCTCATTGAGCTGTCACCATAGGTGACAGTCTAAAATTTAACAATAACGGGCCGGCCCTGGGCACTGCAATCCCATGTAGCTGAGAACATTCAAGTCTACCTTGTATACCACTACTGGCCGTCTCTGAATTGGCCATCAAGGGGTGGTGGTGGCAACTAGGGTGTCCCATAGATTCGTTTCCCTCCTTCCCATACGCCCATCTGTATATCAGGCAGGGAACCCAGAATTGACTCTGATTGTCTGCTGGATGATGGTGTCTTTTCATTGTGATGTGATCTAATTAGCGGATGCCTCATTTAGGCTGGCCAAGTCAACACTGACACTTATCCCATTGCTGGGTATCCACGAGGTGGTGTTTGCCTTTGTAACCGATGAACACGCCCAGGGCACACTGCGCTACGTCAAGCTCTTCTTTGACCTCTTCCTCAGCTCCTTCCAGGTAAGACACACACACAAAAAAACCCCATGTGATTATTTTTAGTGATTTTGTATTCCCCCCCCCCCAAAAAAGCAAATGCTAAGGCTGCTGGGTTTTTGAAGGGGAAGGGGGGGGCTCTTTAACCTTCCCCTGCCATTTTTTCCACTTAAAAAAAGCTGCCAGTGACCAGTTTTTACATGCACTATGGTAAAATTATGAATATTTGTTCCTCAAAGGGGATAACTTTTTAAAGTGGAAAAAAAATGGAGGAAAGGGCCCTTGGCTATTCTCCTCCTCCTCACAAAAAGGGAAATTGAGTGGGGAGTTGTTTTTTAAATGATCGTGGAAGAAAATGTAACTTGCAGTTTGGGCATCAGGTTCTTCCAGACTCCAAAAGGACAGAAGAGGAGGAGGAGGAGGAGGGTGTTACAAATATAACCAGCTGGTTCTGATGAACTCTTTTCTCTCCCTAGGGAATGCTGGTGGCCATTCTCTACTGCTTTGTGAACAAAGAGGTGAGTCCAGTGTGTATGAAGCAGGGGCAAAAGAGACATAGGGCACTAGCTGCCAAGGAAGTGGCTCACTTGTGGGGCAAGGTAGTCCACCTTTATACATTTGATAGGCACTGCAGGCATAGCTGGAACTGAACACACAACACACACAGTTGGCTGGATCCAGTGCAGGGACCATGCAAGATCCACAGAAGAATCCCCAGTATTCCTGGCTTTCCCAAAGCAGCTGAGAAAGTTTATTCCCAGAGTTGTGGGACCCATGTGTAGCAGTAGTCAGGAAAGCTAGAAGGCTTCAGTGGGAGAGGAGGGAAGAAGGGGGGAAATGGTACCTGTTGGCCTGTTTCATAAGTGGCTCCCCACAAATACGAGAGGCAGGAAGGACCTGTCTTCCCCTCCCCATTGCAGCTTCCTGACCCACGTGCCTATTACTTGGTGCGGGTCCTGCAACCCTGGGAATAAACTTTCATGGGGTCAGAAATGGCTGCTGCTGGGGGGAGGAGAAAGCCAAGAAGAAGAAGAAGAGATTGGATTTATACCCCGCCCTTCACTTGGAGTCTCAGAGCGGCTTACAAACTCCTTTCCCTTCCCCTCCCCACAACAGACACCCTGTGAGGTGGGTGGGGCTGGGAGAGCTCTTGACAGAAACTGCTCTTTTTCAAGGACACCTGTGCCAGAGCTTGTGGCTGACCCAAGGTCACATCAGCAGGTGCAAGTGGAGGAGTGGGGAATCAAACCGGGTTCTCCCAGATTAGAGTCCGCACACTTAACCACTACACCAAACTGGCTCTCAGAGAAGACAGACTGCAGACTGCAACCCAGTTCTTTGCAAACACTGACAGAACTAAATGGCACAGCTTACTTCATTTAGTAAGGAGCTGTTTAATTATGGATATAGCTAAAGCTATAGGATGATAGCTATTGCCCATATAACCAGAACTGGTAGAACGGAAGTTGCTTTTTACAAACATTGCCAGAGTCATTAGCAATGAACACATTCATTCTTTAAACTATTTACAGCCGAACTACACGTGTGAAAGCTGCTTCTTCTACTGAAAAGCAACTGGGAGGTTGTGTGTGTGTGTCAGCCAGCCATGAAGCAAGGGAGAGACGCTTAATCTTTTCTCTGCATTTCTCTCTGCAGCTCCTCTCTTCTGCTGCATTTCTTTCTACGGGGTTCCAGTTAGTTCTGGTCCCATGATCTCGTGGATGAAAATGTGTCTCGTAGGGGGAGTTGCAGAAAAAAGTGGAAGGTGTAGGAAAGGTTAAGTGTCCCCCTAACCTCTGCTACATCTCCACTGAAAGTCACCCTCTCAAAGCTGCTCTTTACTTCAAGAAGCAGCCCCTTGGATCCAACGTGGCATTTCTGCAGACCCAGCACTTTCCATCCACAAAAGACAACTGTCTTGCCTCTCTCCCCCGCCTCCCAGTTGCAGCTCAAAATGACCTCTGAAATGAGGAATTCCACAAGCACACAATTTCAGGGAGCACTTTGGGCTGCAGTCTGGGGGGAGGCGGGGAAGTTGTGCTCCGTAGATGGAAATGGTTCTATTCACAGAAACACGACATTGGATCCAAGACAGGGATTGTTTATTTATTTAAACTAGATTTGCTAGGCCACCCTTCCCTACAGGAAGGGCTCAGGGCAGCTTACAACAAAACAGTATACAAAATCAGCGTGTAATAGGCAGTTTGGCCCTCAGGAGCGTCAGGGCTGGAAGGCTTCGTACGTGTGGGGTTGTTGCAGCTGAACTATGAGTTAAATGCCCCCCATCTTTGCTTCCCTCTTTGTGTGCCCTTTCTGTAGGTACAGTCAGAGCTCATGAAGAAATGGACCCGCTGGAAGCTTGGCCGGGACATAGAAGAGGAGTACAAGCACACGTACAGCCACACACCCAATGCTCGCAACGGAGGTGGCAGCACCTGTGAGAAGCACAAGCTGGTGGGCAGCTACCTCAATGGGCTAGGCCGCAGTAAAGGAACCGTGAACACCAGCACCCAGTACCTCGAGAGGACAGGATGCAGTGCCAGTGAGAACCTGGCTGCAGGTGAGCAGCCCCATTGCTACGAGTTCCCCAACACAGCTGAGAGCAACTTCTAAAGCAGCTTAGCTCTGGACATAGGGGACCTGCCCCACTCCTTGCCCTGGAGGCAAACATACTGTGGAGAAGAGAGGGCAGCTGACAGCCCAGGACATGGACTTGGATACACTCAGTGGGGCATGTGATTGGACACTGTGCCCTCTGCCAAGCTGCCTGGAGCTGGCAGGACTCTGCAAGTTCTTTCCCATCAGCAAGACCCCGTGTGAGACTTTCTGCCCAGTCTGTCTGCATGCAGTCCTCCATGGGTGTGAGCCTCAGTGTATGTGAGCAGAATGGGTCACATGGGTGCCTTGTGCCAGCCTGCGTGTGAGAGTGCCAATCAAGGTCTGTACAGGAAGGAATTCTGTACCATCTCTTAAGTGCTCTGAAAGTCTTCATTAGCTACTGTGCCATGATCAGCACTGATCAGCCTCCTGAAAATCTCAGATCTCATTTTTCAAAAGGAAATTTTCTATCCCTCAAAAAGGCTGAGAATGCGCTGACAGTTCTTACTCAATTGTTAGAGGGTCTGTGCAATTTCCCCCCTATTGGTTGTGAGGTATGACACGTTCAGAGCTATCAGCCATTCCCGTTTCTCTCCTCCAGATCCTAACTGCATCTGAACACCAAATTTTGCAAAGCAAGCTTCCAAACAAATGTTGTTGTAAAACGTGCACATTTATACACATTTGTCCAACATGGCTAAGTATCCCAACTGCATGCAGGAACAGGATCTCTTTAACCCTTTTGTCCTGTGCAGCTTTCCTCCTGAAAATCACTATCCCCCAACTGTTGTTACACCTGTAAGCTTACACCTGCCACAAAAGCAGTATCCCAACTGCATGCAGGGAAAGGATCTCTTTAACCCTTTTGCCCTGTGCAGCTTTCCTCCTGAAAATCACTATCCCCCAACTGTTGTTACACCTGTAAGCTTACATCTGCCACAAAAGCAGTATCCCAACTGCATGCAGGGAAAGGATCTCTTTAACCCATTTGCCCTGTGCAGCTTTCCTCCTGAAAATCACTATCCCCCAACTGTTGTTATACCTGTAAGCTTACACCTGCCACAAAAGCAGTATCCCAACTGCATGCAGGGAAAGGATCTCTTTAACCCTTTTGCCCTGTGCAGCTTTCCTCCTGAAAATCACTATCCCCCAACTGTTGTTACACCTGTAAGCTTACACCTGCCACAAAAGCAGCTTGAGGAAGATGATTTTCAATAGGGACCATGAGGATTAAAAATACCTGCTGCAGCATCCCCCACCCCATTCTGTTCTCCCCCTTTAAAATGCAGTTTTACTGGTTGCATTGTTTAAATTTTAAAAATGTGGGGGGAAAGTAATCGAATGTGGATCGTGCCTCCTTGGGTGCAAGCCTTCCAGATGCCCTTTGTCACGTATGGAAGCATCACCTCTTGGCGAAAGGCTTCTTTGCCTGCTGGGCACATGGAGTGGTGGGTGGTCCCATACCTCTTGAAGGGGTCCTTGATCAGTAGCTAGCCCACTGGTCTTAGGGGAGGGGTGTATTGGAAATGTTGCTAGGAACACTGGGAGTGAAAAATGCTGGTGGACTATGTATATGCAGAAGCAACAATGCTCATTCAAAAGAGAATCAACCATCATGTGTGGCTGTACTATTGTGCCTGCATTGTGGATACGCTTGCTCCTTTTGCTCCGGAGTAACCTCTGTCTTGGGTGACTTTGTAAATCTGTATGTGTGGGCAATGCAAGCCCCAAGGGCTGCCTCTCACCTCTGCATCTGTATATGTCTGTCATCACCAGTGTCTGGGGACTGAAGACCCCAATAAACTTTGCTATGTGTCATCCTGGCAAATGGATCTCAGTACCTTCTGATGCAACAAGAGGCCTGTCCTAGCAAGGGACCAGTCTGCACTTTGTCTAGCAACATGGAGAGAAACAGGTGTCCCAAACCCACCCTTGTCCTCCAAAAGTATTAATTTTCCCCAGGAGGTTATGCAGCAGCTTTAATTTAGAACCAAGTTGCAACAACAGATAATATCCTTTATAGATGACCCCTCCAACACCTCACCTCAAAAATAGTTCCTTTGCTCCACTGGCACTTTGAAGGGCATCTGCAAGCACTGCTAGTTTCTCTTTAAGAAGGAAGATGGAATTTTTAAACAAGATTTTCAGCACATATACAGAACATGTGACTTCTGAACATGGTCAGCTGCAGGATAAGTTCATACATGCACATCTTGTTAAGTTTTACACTAGATGGGCTTTCCATTAAACAAATAGGTTATGATGTGCATGAACAGGGCACCTACGGGGCACCTACAGAGGAACTAGACAGCATGGAGGAGGCCTTCATTGCATGTGCAATTACAGTAGCCTCAGCAGTACAGAAGACAGCAGCCTTCATGTCAGACAACCCACTCACCCACATGCAGACCTCCACGAACTGGATATACAATATGTACAGCCAGCCTAGCAGTGTCCTCTGCCACTGGTGGGGAGCAAGGTCACCTTCCACTGTGGCAGGTAATAAAGAATTAGATCTACAGCCTGACTGTGGGAGGTGAAAGCCGCTTACAACCTCTGGCAGCACGCCAGAATGGAAATCATCCTCCATATTCCTTCAAAGAGGGTGGTAGCTTTTTATACTTGATTGGAGATAAGAACATCTCTTTTTGGCATGACCGTCAAACACCCCTTCCCCTGGTCTTTTCATCCCTAACCCCCATTTTATCTCTATTCCTGACCCTATTCTCCCCAGCTTTCCACTATTTCTTATGCGCGTCCTTTCTACAATCTCCATCCTCTACCCACTACACATTGCAATGTGGACCTCCCCTGCGTGTGCACAGAATGCTTCCTTCCCATGGACAAAGCACTTTCTTTGAGCCTCACTTCCTCATCTATAAATGGAGATCTACTATAAGCCAAGGACTTGTCAAGTTTGTGAATGATTTCCTGACAGAGGCATAGCCTGGCCTTGAGCAAGTCACTTCTAGTTTCAGTTCACCCAATAATACATAGAACTTATGCCACAACCTTCATTACAGGGACGTTTTGTGAGAGACATGAGGGGGCAACATTTTCGATTTTAATTTCTTGCTTGTGAACGCACAATTATCTTTTAGTTATGCAGGTTAGAGAGAAGAAAGGGTTGGGGGCGGGATCTGGGGAGGGGAAGGACTTCAGTGGGGTGTAATGCCAGAGAGTCCTCTCTCCAAAACGGACATTTTCTCCAGGGGAACTGATCTGTGCAGCCTGGAGATGAGTTGTGACTCCAGCAGGGCTCCAGGCCCTACCTTGAGGCTGGCAACTATAGATGAAAAAGCAGGGAAAAATTATTGTGATCCTGTGCAGTCAAGGAGGTCCAAGTTCCTGCCCTGGTTTTCCCATGTGGTATTGGGAGTCATTTTCTTTCTTCCTAAGATGCCTATGGGTATAATGGTAGAGATAATTGCTTGGATCCTATAGTTTGCTTCAGTGGAAGGTACCTAGTACCAGATGAATGTCCTTTGATGTGGAAGTCCAGTATGGTGCAAGTCATTGTAGTAAAGATTGGAGGGGCAAGTACATGTTGGTCAAGCCACAATAAAGTTCAGGAAATAAAAGAAGGTAACCAGTTGATTTTAGTGGGATCTTTGAGCTGACAAGATGTATTGTTCAGACTTTCTGCCCAGTAGTAAGAGCAAAGCTCTGACTGAAGCTTTACATCTGGGAACCGGTAAGGTTACTCCTTTCTGTGGAGTCACAGCGAAATACTTCCTTTGGGTGCGCAAAAATGTGCATATAAAAGACAAGCTTAAAACTTGTGTGTGAGAGAGTGTACTGTTATCAGTGGATCAAATACTGATCTATTACATACACACTTTCTCATTGCTGGTCACTCCATTACCATTCCCTCCTCTGCTTCCCATTTGGGAAGGGGGGTGCCCCACACCATTTGCCTGAAAAGAGAAACCATCAGGAAAATCACAGAATCAAACAGTTGGAAGGGGGTTACAGGATCCAGTGTAACCCCATCCTACACCATGCAGGATGACCTAAAGCATCCAATCTCTGCTTAAACACCTTCCCAGGAGGGGGAAACCACAACATCCCTGGGCAACCTACTCCACCACTGAACTGCCCTTATTGTTAAAAAGTTTTTCTTAATATCCCACCGATATCTCCCCACTCATAATTTAAACCCATTATTACAAACTAGAAATAAGGCCCGTTGTGGAAATAAATAAAACGGGATCTAGAAAGAGGCTCTGGGAGAGTGCTCTGGCTTTGGGCAAACAGTGTCATTCTGCTTTTAAAACATGAACCTGGGACCTGCACACCACCAGAATACAGCAGGTTCCATATGTAACTGACATTCCAACTGCCTTGCGGGGGGGGGGGAGTTTGAGGTGTGGAATGGAGTGAAGTCCAATCAGCTTCCATATACAAAAGACCAGTTTGTCGCAGCAGTTGTGGTGTGGGCGGGACCCGGGCTTTGCCTTCTGATTGGTGGCTATATATGCTGAGGAGCAGTGCCATCAGTGGCTATATATGCTGAGGAGCAGTGCCATTTTAGAATTAGAACTTTGGCACCCACTATTCAATTATATATAATAAGGAGAGATTCTATCCTCCCCTACTGGCTGAAATAGCACCCTACCCTCCTCAACATGACAACCCAAGGGTGCTATTTTAGCTGGGAGGGAAAGATAGGACTCTTAATAATGAGTTTAAAGGAAGGAAGAGATAAGAAAACACCCTGCAGGGAAAGCCGGTGGAGAATGCTGTCCTTCCCTGCTTGCTCACTTGATCTCTCCTTAGAAGGAAAGCCTGGTGCTGCAGCAACCCCTTCCCACTGCAGGCAGAGGACAGGAGGAGATGCCAAAGATCGACTGGCATGGCTAAAACCCACCAGCATTCCATCTTGGGTCGTCACAAGTGCTGTGAGCCTCCCCCCCCCCCTTGATTACCAGTCTATGCTTACCAACATTTCTGGGGACAGTTTAAACACTTACACAGCAATAAACGGAGAAGCTTCTTAAACTTATACTTTTTTTAAAAAGCAAAGTGTTCTTAAGTGTAAAACAGCAGAGAAGACAAGGAGATCAGAGGAAAGTGTACTGTGTTCCTATTTCCCACTGTAGCATGAGAGAGATGTGATGAAATAGGCAGGATGGAGAGCATACTACCTCAGCACCCCCCCACCCACACAAACACCCGTGGCCAGAACCAGGTCCTTGAAAATGCCTGGTCACAGGTACATTTAGGGCTCATCTATTCCTGTCAGAACTTGATTACACTTGAGGAGGCTCAAAATGCCTTTCTTAACTCGGAGAGACCCATTGTGACAAATTCTGTGCCCACTGGCCTTAGAAACCGGCTGGGTGAGCTGTAAAAAATCACAGAAAAGCTTCACACACAGTGGCAGAGCATCTTAAGTGGATACATAAAGGAGCAAGCAGAGAACAAGTGGATGCAATACTCCCACTCGTGCATGTCACCCAGTAGTCCATGTTCCCTTATGTGGACACAGCGTGACGTGCACAAGCAGGAGTACAGGTATCTCTCTCACACACTAATTGTCCTCCAGCTCCTATGCACACCCACCTAAGACACTTCGGCAGTATGTGGCTTCTAAGCCCCCATGAGCCAGTTTTAGGAGCAGGACAATCCCCTTGTTTGTGGAATTAGTCCCCCCATTTCTCCCACAGTGTACCACCCTAAGGGCCGCTCCCCCCCTCCCCACTACAGGGGAGCAGCAGCCAAATTCATGCTTAGCACAGTCCTGTGGATGGGCACCTCCCTCAGATTGAAAATGTGGAATGGGTGTGCAGCCACAGTCATTCGCCTCCTGTTAATTAACTCCAGTGCCTCCAGATTGCTCCTTCCCCGTGTTGTCTCCCCCGGCTTAATTCAAAACAGCAGCTAGACCCCAGGCCATGAGGTCTAGACTTAAGAGGAAACATACCACAGTGACCTCTACAACCCTGGCCACAGACTGCAGTTGCACCTGGGGCCTGACTGGCTTAACATCAAAGGGATGGTAAACACAACACCGTGTGCGCACACACGCAATCTGTTTTGGGCCCAGTGGGCTGAAACAGACCTTGGCAGCCATTTAATCCAAACCCTCACTCAGCATTACATGCAACAGGGGAAAGATTAAAACCGCGATCAAGAGAAAATGGCTTTTCTGCTCCCAATTATACCAATTGCTGCTGTTTCCCATACTCTTCCCCCCCCCCCCAAGTGTCTCTTCAGATGCGTCAAGAAACAAGCAGGAGGTGTGTGAAAAAGTAACTTGTGCGCAAGGTTGCAGGAGCCACTTTGCCAAGTCATTCTAGGCAAAACCCCAGATGCTGGTGGATGAATGCGCAGCTGAGGAATTCAGCAGAGCTATAATGCCAACCAATTAGCCAACCCCACCCTCATTTGCTTTGCCCTCTCACCTGCATATTCCTTTGGCACTCCAGCTTTCCAAAATGAAGAAAGCAAGCGGGGCATTACCCCAGCACAGGATGCCTTCCATGACATTGGGGAAAGAGAAAAAAGGGTTTGGACCTTTCTTCCTAAACTAGCTTAGAGAAGCTCAGCTACGGCACAGAGAAGTCAGTTTCATCATCCCGTTTTGTCTCCTAGATTCAACACAATCATTGCATTGGGTTAATAGACAAAATCCCCCATGGGCAGATTTCTTTTAATATTTATTAGGGACATTTTTATCCTGCCCTTCCTCCAAACAGCTCAAGGCAGCGTGCAATTTTCTCCCCTCCTCCATTTTAATCCTTTCAACTATCCTCTGAGGGAGATTAGGCACATGGAGAGTGAGTGGACCAAGGTCACCCAGCAAGCATCATGGC